CCAGGCACTATTTGTCTTTTAGTGACCCCCTCTCCCAACCCTTCCCTCCATCTCACACCTCTCACCCTGAACCCATAGCCAATCCTGCTGGGCCAGGAGCTGAGCTGTGCTTGCAGCCTCAGCCAGGGTGACACGGAGCCGGAGCCCCCTCCTGAGGTGGTCCATCTTCTCTATCCCACAGGGTGACGTTGGTGAGAAAGGCCCCGAGGGAGCCCCTGGGAAGGACGGTGGACGAGTAAGTGAATGCTGGCTGCAGGCACCCTGGGGACCCTGTGGGTCTCCAGCCCTGCGCTCTGGGCACGGAAGGGCAGTGTGTGAGCACAGCCCCTGTCCTATCTCAGTTGTGCAGGCTGGGCAGCTTTGGGACTCTCCTGACAAGGCTGGGGCCACGGGTGTGAGGTCCCCAGACTTCCTACTGGGCTCCCAGTCCCTGGTCAACTCTTCCTCCCTCACCTTTGTCTCCTTTCTCCCTAGGGCCTGACTGGTCCCATTGGCCCCCCTGGCCCTGCCGGTGCCAATGGTGAGAAGGTGAGTCACAGCTCCCTTCGCTCATGGCTCCCCTCCCCTATCACACCTGCACATCTCCTGCCAAAGACTGCCGTCTCTTCTCCTCACTCAACAGCTGGCACCCTCCTGCCCACTAGTGGCTGCAAGGAGTGAGGGGTGGGAGTCTTCTTAAAAGCAGAGTCAGGGGCTGTGCACCCCGTCCAGCGGAGCTGTTGCAGGGAGGGAGGGGGCCGGTAAACCAGCATTCAGCAGAGGCCCCAGGAAGTACCTCTAGGACCGAAGCTACAAGGAGAAAACAGGCCATCTGCTGCAGGGCTCCCTGGATGCACTTTGCTCTTTAAGGTCCCCACTCTGACCCCCACCCCTTACCTGTGGCTCTCGTCTCCCCTCCCCACCCTAGGGAGAAGTTGGACCTCCTGGTCCTGCGGGAACTGCTGGTGCTCGTGGAGCCCCGGTGAGTATCTGCCCGTCCCCAGGCCCCTGGGAGCAAGAGAAGCCGCCCTGCCTCTCAGCCTGGCCCTTTGGGTCTGGGGGAGGAAGCAGAGATGGAATGGAGGGAGAAGGCCTCATCTCCATGATGCGGTCGAGGTGGAGGGCCTTCAGGTCGCCAGATCCTCTGACCAAGAGAGGTCTTCTGAAGTGGGTCCCTTGTATTTAGGACAGAGCTTCCTGGAGGCTGTCTGCGTGTCCTGTCTCTGGGCTTTCTATGCAAGGGCTGGGCCACAAGGGCCTGGGTTATAGGAGAGGACAGAAGCAGGCAGGCCTAGGGCCTTACCTCTCCTGGGCCCTCTCTCCCACAGGGTGAACGTGGAGAGACCGGTCCCCCCGGGCCCGCTGGATTCGCAGGACCTCCCGTGAGTGTCCCTGTCCACCCTCCTTCCCACCCCTCTGCTCAGGCCAGCTCTACACCTGAGGGCACCTTCTAGCCTGTGGGGGAGGGATGGAGAGAGGGAGGGACAGAATGTAAAGAAGAGGGAAATGGCCTCTTCCGTCTTTCCTTGAACCTCCATGCTGATCTCACAGTCCCATCTTAGAGCAACTCGCTCACTCACTCATTTACCCACCCACTCACCCAGAGCTCTGGCCCTTTTGGAAGAACGTGGAGTATCTGGCTTGCCTCTAACTCATCTGCTTCCTCCTCCTCGGGACAGGGTGCTGATGGCCAGCCAGGTGCCAAGGGCGAGCAAGGAGAGGCTGGCCAGAAAGGTGATGCTGGTGCCCCGGGTCCTCAGGGCCCCTCTGGAGCTCCTGGACCTCAGGTGGGTAGCAGTGAGCTCCCCCAGGAGCTGTTCCCATGGGATAGGGATGTTGGGGTGCAGGATGAGGGGCCTGGACAGGAGGCCTGGGTGTCACCCCAAGCTGAAGCCCCTCTACCTGGCAGATGTTAGAGCCTGCTGCTGCCCCAGCCCCAGAAGGGAGCAGCTATGGGGAGGAATCTGTACTTGGAGATAGAGGTTCAAAAGAAGTTAACTGGCTTATGTCATCTAGGGTTTGGGGGCCAGGAGATGACACAGAGTGCAGGCTAAGGATACATGACCAGGGAAGATGCAGCCAGGATCCTGGGGAGGGAAGGGGGAGACCTCCAACCAGCTCTGCAGATGCCTGCCAGGCCTCCCCCCCCCCCCCAAGGTCTCCTAGAGCACGAGTCTCTCTTGGAGGGGGTGGCAGGCCCACCTGTGATGCCTTCTCCAGGCTGGGATTTTAGTGACAAGAAAGCTACATCTCGGAAAACTAACCCCTTGGGAGTCAGCTCTTGGGGGTCAGACAGGCCCTATACCCAGAAGCCCACAGCTCTCCTCCGGGTGACTGGGCCTCACTGTCTCTCTCCTTCCTTCCCAGGGTCCTACTGGTGTGACTGGTCCTAAAGGAGCCCGAGGTGCTCAAGGCCCCCCGGTGAGTGAGGTCCCCGTTCCCACCAGGTGGGGTGGAGGGCACCTTGGGGGCGGCAGCTGCTGTCACCAAGAAGGCCTGGCCAGATGCTCCCACGGTGGTGCTCTGGGATTTACTCACCCCCTTCTTTCTTAGCCTTGCTTCTGCCCCCAGCCTGAGCCCATCCCACAGCCATGCGGGAGAACGGGCGCCCCTCTCTGCCAGTGTGCCGTGATCCGGGGAGGCCTGTGGTCCTGGGCAGGCCCCCTGCTCAGCTCCCAGAGCACTGGCTGTCCCAGCTGAATGCACCTCCTCACCCTACCCCCTACAGGAGCTGGAGGCAGAGAAGCTGCAGCTTCCTGATCCAACAGCCAGACCCCATGGGGCCCTTTCTCCTTCTCTAGCTCTCCTTGCCCCTTTCCACACCAGCCTCTGAGACACCCGTGTCTGTCTCCCAGTATGATTCCTGACGCTTCTGAGGGCCTGAGGGATTCAGAGTCTTTCTTCTCATCCCATAGGGAGCCACCGGATTCCCTGGAGCTGCTGGCCGTGTCGGACCCCCAGGCTCCAATGTAAGTGATGCTCCTGGATGGTTCTTACCTTACTCTTGGCGTGGGGGGCACAGCAGGGGTTGAAGAGCCTGGCACAGTCCCCTGCTAGGGCTCCAAAGAGTGCAAGCTGGCCTCCATCCCTTTGTGCCTTTTCCCACTCCTGGGAGTAATTGATCATGGGGACCTGTTCTCGTAAACAGCTGCGAGCAAGGGCTGCGGCCATGGGCAACCTTCCCTGCTGGCTTGGGCTTGGACCCTCAGATTCCTGGCTCAGTGGGCAGGACAGGCTGGCACGATTGCCTCAACACATTTCTTGAGCGCATTCTGTGTTCCCGGCCTGTACAAGTTCTACATTTTGCCCATAGGGAATCTGCCATGGAGGGATGAGAGATGGTGAAAAGTCACCAGTTTACCACCAATCAAGTGCAGGGGGAGTGGGTGCAGAGGTTTAGGGGTCCGAGGAGCTACGTTTGAACTGTTCCTTGAGGGATGGTGGGATTGAGATTTCTAAAAGAAAGGAGGCAGGAAGAAGTCCAAGTAGATCAGAAAAAGCAAATGTGGGGCTGGACAAGCCAGGGCTGGCTGCTCAGAGCTCCCTCCTGGGAGGGAAGGTGGAAGAAGCAGACAGGGGTGGGGGTCAAGCTTCCTTTGTGTGGAGGGAGCCACAGAGGGGAACTGCTATCCCTGGGGCCACAGTGGCTTTGGCAGTCCGGATGGGGCAGGGTGAGATGTTCTCATTTCTCGCATTTGCTTTTCTAGGGCAACCCTGGACCCCCTGGTCCCCCTGGTCCTTCTGGAAAAGATGGTCCTAAAGGTGCTCGAGGAGACAGCGGCCCCCCTGGCCGTGCTGGCGACCCTGGCCTCCAAGGTCCTGCCGGGCCCCCTGGCGAGAAGGGAGAGCCTGGAGATGATGGTCCCTCTGTAAGTCCTTCCCAGGCCTGGGCCAGGAAGTCTTCTGAGCTCACAGGGCATGGAGGAGGAGGGGACACCATGGAGGGGGCCACTGCCAGGGAAGAGTGCTGGGACCTGTGAATGGCGGCCAGGCTGGGTGTGGATGGCTGGGCCACTCCCTGTCAGAGCTCAAATTCTCACTCTCGCCTTCCCTCTCTAGGGTCCCGATGGTCCTCCAGGTCCCCAAGGTCTGGCTGGTCAAAGGGGCATTGTTGGTCTTCCTGGGCAACGTGGTGAGAGAGGATTCCCTGGCCTGCCTGGCCCATCGGTGAGTGAAGGATGCCCCTTCCTCTGGTGAACTGGGCCCAGCCTGGCTCTGGCTGGTGTTCTTCACTCAGTGCTCTTGGTGGCCTGGTCTCTGAAGAAGCAATACCACCCCCTGAGATTTCCCCCTACTCTGCACCCTCTGCACTGTCTCTCTGTCAGCCCTTTCTTTGGAAGGGCTCAGTATGTCCCAGGACGGGATTCTTAGAGTGCACACTCATCCTCTTTGTCGCTGTCCCTCCAGGGTGAGCCTGGCAAGCAGGGAGCTCCTGGAGCATCTGGAGACCGAGGTCCCCCCGGCCCCGTGGGTCCTCCTGGCCTGACTGGTCCTTCTGGCGAACCTGGACGAGAGGTGAGCAATGGGACCCACTGTGTGTGTGGCCCTTCCCAGGGAGAGGCGTGCCGGGCCAGCCAGGCCCAGTCCTGGTGCCCTGGAGGAGGGGATGATGGGATGGGCCCATAGGCCCAAGTGCCCAGCTGCGATGGAAGGTCGTGATGGGAGAGAGAGAGGGACACAGACACTAAGAACTGGTACGTGGGCAGGAAGGCAGAAGGAAGCTTGTTGAGCTTCCAAAGCTTTAGCAGGATGGAAGGGAACAAGCCTGGGGCTCCCGACGGGAGAAGGGAGGAACAGAATGGGAGTCTGGCAGGGGCAGCTCTAATGGCATCTTGTTTCCTCTTGTCCAGGGAAGCCCTGGTGCTGATGGCCCCCCTGGCAGAGATGGTGCGGCTGGAGTCAAGGTGAATATCTCGGTGTCTCTATGAGCAGTGGGACAGGAGAATATTCTGTTGGGCCTACCAGGTCAGCCCCAGGTGGTAGGCTGGAGTCAGAGTCTTGTCTCAGTTTCAAGGGCCTATTCTCCATGGATTTTCTGGAACATTCTTCTCTAAGCCTGAGACCTCTCTCCTGACAGGGTGATCGTGGTGAGACTGGTCCCGTGGGTGCTCCTGGAGCCCCTGGGCCCCCTGGCTCTCCTGGACCCGCTGGCCCAACTGGAAAGCAGGGAGACCGAGGAGAAGCTGTGAGTATCCTTAATTCAGTAAAAGCTGGAAGTGGAGAAGGGTGGCCAAGTGAGCTGGGAGCTCATCCACTACGTGCCTGACTCCCAGGCCCTGGATGCATCCCTGGGTCCAGGGAGTCTTGGGGCCCAGTCCGGGCCATAGGCAGAGGAGGGTTTTGCTGACAGAGTTCCCACTCTCTCCCTCACAGGGCGCACAAGGCCCCATGGGCCCTGCAGGACCAGCCGGAGCCCGGGGAATCCCAGTGAGTATCTGAGTGTCCTCTGTTGGGTTCCTAACTGGGGCAGGCTTGGAGGTCAGTGGGGACTGTGTGGATCCTGGGACTCCTTGGCTCAGGTGAGGCCAGCAAGAGGCCTCAACCTGACCCAACCTGTGTCTGTCTCATTCCCAGGGTCCTCAAGGTCCCCGAGGTGACAAAGGAGAAGCTGGAGAGGCTGGCGAGAGGGGCCTGAAGGGACACCGTGGCTTCACTGGTCTGCAGGGTCTGCCCGGCCCTCCTGTGAGTATTGCTGTCTGTGCATGTCTCCCAGGTGCCTCCCACTGCTCAGAGCTCACTTGAGTGTCCCATGCAGCTAACCCAGCTTGGGATCATCCTAAGAAATATCCAGGACCAAAAGAAAAATTTCCAAGACTTCCTCTGGGTTGGAGGGAGGAGCAAATGGAAAGGAGGGGGGAGGGGGGACATGTATCGTATGCATATTTAAGAAGGCTTCCCATCCTGGAAGATGGGGCCCTGTCTGTGCTGACCTCTGACTTTTGCTTCTTCCTTCTGCACAGGGTCCTTCTGGAGACCAAGGTGCTTCTGGTCCTGCTGGTCCTTCTGGCCCTAGAGTAAGTGAGATGCAGTGAGTCCTTCCTCGGGGGTGGGGCCAGGTGTGGGCGCTCTGATGGGGAGGGAAGCCTGGGGCTCAGGGGGCCTCACTCGGAGGTGGAAGGACGACGGGCTCAGGGTGACTGTGGCCAGAAACCCCCTGAGATCACAGGCTGGATGAACATGAGAACAGCTCTTGGCTGTCAGCTGGGCCCACTGGGAATAGGATTCAACAAAGAGGAGCTCAGGATAGCAGAAGAGCCGTGAAGCCATCCTGCTGGTCCCTGGCCCAGCGGAGATGAGTCTGGGCCCTCCGAGAAATGTGAAGCTGCAGGGCTTCCCATCAGGACAGCCACCCGACCAGCGCCCCTTGCCCCCCCCACCCCTGCCTTTGCTGACGGCTCCTCTCTCCTGGCCTGCAGGGTCCTCCTGGTCCCGTCGGTCCCTCTGGCAAAGATGGTGCTAATGGAATCCCTGGCCCCATTGGACCTCCTGGTCCCCGCGGACGTTCGGGCGAAACTGGCCCAGCTGTAAGTGTCCTGACTCCTTCCCTGCTGTCTGGCCTGTCCCCAGCATCTGGGAGGCTCGGGCTCTCTGGTGCCAAGGGCCTCTTTCAGGGCATCCGCCTGCAGCTAGTGAAGATGGCATCCTGTGTCCTGGGTCTTCCCTGGAGGTTCAGAGGGTCCTGCTTGGTGTTGGGAAACAGGAGAGAGGGGCTGATGAAGAAGTAGGGAAAGTGCTGTGATTTTTCTTGGTCCTGGGCTGCTGCACCCCTCCCCCCACCCAGTGTCTGGAAGAAGACACTAGTATATTCTAGCAAGTGGGGATGTATATAGGAGGGGCACATCCCCACAATTCCTGGCTGATTTCCGTTCCCTGCTACAGGGTCCTCCTGGAAACCCCGGACCCCCTGGCCCTCCAGGTCCCCCTGGCCCTGGCATCGACATGTCTGCCTTTGCTGGCCTAGGCCAGAGAGAGAAGGGCCCCGACCCCCTGCAGTACATGCGGGCTGACCAGGCAGCTGGCAACCTGAGACAGCACGACGCCGAGGTGGATGCCACGCTCAAGTCCCTCAACAACCAGATTGAGAGCATCCGCAGCCCTGAGGGCTCCCGCAAGAACCCCGCTCGCACCTGCCGGGACCTGAAACTCTGCCACCCTGAATGGAAGAGCGGTGAGGGTGCAGGGCAGGGCCCCTGGCCCCGGAGAGCAGGAAATCGGCCTGCTGGGCATGGCCGCCTTCAGAATGAGGGAGGAGACCGCTCTTAGCACAGGCCAGAGCCAGGCCTGGAAGGTTCTGGTGGATGGTTGCTCCTCCATTTCACAGCAGAGATACCTCAGCCCTGGCTCCTGTCCTGCCATGGCTACATGGCAGACGTGACTTGAGGGTAGAGTTCCATCCACCAGGCAGGCGCTGCTCCTGCCCTGTTGCTTGCGCCCCTGTTTAGCATCAGACTCTCCCGTCCAGGTCTCCTTGCTCCCAGATCCCTGCATCTCCCCTCCCTTTGGCCACATGTGACCCTCACAGCCTGTTGTCCTGGGAAGCCTTTCCGTCTCTCCCAGGCAGGTCTGGCCCTCTCGGGAGTATGTGTGTGCCTGTCTGAGCCCCAATGGGGTACTGCCTCCTCCCCCTGCAGGAGACTACTGGATTGACCCCAACCAGGGCTGCACCTTGGACGCCATGAAGGTTTTCTGCAACATGGAGACTGGCGAGACCTGCGTCTACCCCAACCCAGCGAGTGTTCCCAAGAAGAACTGGTGGAGCAGCAAGAGCAAGGACAAGAAGCACATCTGGTTTGGAGAAACCATCAACGGTGGCTTCCACGTGAGTACCTGGCTGCTCTGGGCCCCAGACGGCTCCTCAGAACCCTTCTCTTCTTTCTCCCTTGAAGTTGGTGGCACCTCGCCCACCACTTTTCTTGGAGACTTCCTCCTCTTCCCCCTCTTCTGAAGAGTATTCTTAACCATGATCCCACCGGACACTGCCCCTGGGCCTCATGCTGTCGCTCTCTGCCCTGACAGTTCAGCTATGGAGATGACAACCTGGCTCCCAACACTGCCAACGTCCAGATGACCTTCCTACGCCTGCTGTCCACCGAGGGCTCCCAGAATATCACCTACCACTGCAAGAACAGCATTGCCTACCTGGATGAAGCGGCTGGCAACCTCAAGAAGGCCCTGCTCATCCAGGGCTCCAATGATGTGGAGATCCGGGCTGAGGGCAACAGCAGGTTCACATATACTGTCCTGAAGGATGGCTGCACGGTGAGTCGGGCTGGCTGAAGCAGGCAGAGGGTTGGTCCACAGCAGGTGTCATAGGCCTAAGGTGACAGGATCCTCGAGAGGTGAGCGTGAGGGGTTATGTAGAGAAGGCGTGCGGAGTGCCAGGGGAGGGAAAGGTGCCATTGTTGTATCTTCTTCACTCCCTGGGCTCAGGGGAAAGAAGTCCCACCTGGCACGTCCAGTTACTCTCGTAGGAGTATTCGTGGTGTGTGTGTGTGGGTCTGCCTTGGGGATGGAGTGAAGAGACGCTCACTGTGGGGGAGGGAGCAGGTGGAGGGGGCCTTGCTGGAAAGGACAGGAGCTGGGGTAGAGAGGGCTTCAGCAAGCCAAGGAGAGGTCGGGGGAGCCCTGAGCGTGTTTTACACTTTGTGTTCTGTGATGCTCCTTTTTGGGGTCCTGGGCAGCTGGCATTGGACAGTGTCTCCTCTCTTTCTCCCCTAGAAACACACCGGTAAGTGGGGCAAGACTATGATCGAGTACCGGTCACAGAAGACCTCGCGTCTCCCCATCATTGACATTGCACCCATGGACATAGGAGGGCCTGAGCAGGAATTTGGTGTGGACATAGGGCCTGTCTGCTTCTTGTAAAAACCCGAACCCACAAACAACACAATCCATTGCCAACCCAGAGGACCCAAGTATTTTCCAGTCCCAGTCACTCTAGGGCTCTGCACTGAATGGCTGACCTGACCTGATGTCCATTCATCCCACCCGCTCAACAGTGTGGACTTTTCTCCTCTCTCTTTCTGAGAGACCTGAACTGGGCAGACTGCAAAATAAAATCTCGGTGTTCTATTTATTTATTGTCTTCCTGTAAGACCTTTGGGTCGAGGCAGAGGCAGGAAACTAACTGGTGTGAGTCAAACGCCCCCTGAGTGACTGTCCCCAGCCCAGGCAAGAAGAGCCCCCTTCAGGTGCCGGGCGCAGGAACTGTGTGTGTCCTACACAATGGTGCTATTCTGTGTCAAACACCTCTGTATTTTTTAAAACATCAATTGATATTAAAAACAAAAAAATTATTGGAAAGTACATACCGACTTGTGCTTTGTTCATTTTTCCTTTAGTCTTTGATACTGTAGCCATGACCAAATGGCAGTCCTGAAGGCCTTCTTCTATTGACTTTTCAACCAGGAGGGAGGACTCTAGAGTCACACTGCCTGGTTTAGTGACCTCACACAAACACGCATTTGCCTCTTTTTGTAACCTCTGCACTGCGTGGAATCCAAGAGTAAACTGGGACCGGAGGGCAAGACTTGAGAAGGGAGGCAGAAAACAGGAACGGCCTTGTTCTTGAGTAAACACAAAACACAACTCTAGGGCGTGGGGATGGACAGAGGGGATGGGACAGTGTGTGGGCCACACCTTGCTGGATGAGGGAGATCAGAGATGCTCCCAAGGGAAGGTGGGGAAGAGGTGCGGGAGCAAGTCCACAGAGGCCCGTGACGAGTACATACCATCAGCCAACCCTGGTGATCTATTTATCTGCATCTTTCTTTAAGACTTTTAGGTCAAGGAGAGGTGGGAGTGTTACTCACCTCTACCCCTTATTCTGTTTTCCTGCGCCCTCCTCTGGCCCCTCCTCTCTGCTTGCCAGGCCTACACTTAGAGCTTCCATGGACTTCCTCCCAACACCAGGCTTCTGAATGGATGGCCTCCCATTTCTCCCTGCCATCAGGGGTCCCTTGCTTTCCAGGGACTCAGGGTGGCACAGTGAGGAAACTGTCACCTTCTCTACTAGAGGGGGGGCACAGTGGTGGCGATGTGTGAGGTGGACAGGAGACACGAAACCAATCAAAATCAATGACAATAGTATCTGGCAACATAAATTTAAAAAGCTACCCACCACTACTGATAAACCAGAGAAACTGTCCCTCTCTCAGTCCCATTCTCCCATCCCTTCCTGTCCCTTCCTCCAGAGGAAGGTAGACAGCTTTTCTATTAAAGAAACAGAAAAAAAAAAAAAGATACATAGGGCATTTCTGTTGGACTGTTTGTATTATTAATACCCAACTTACAGTGTAAACTTTGTTGAATAAAGGGTATCTTATCAGGGCTAGTTCATGACAAACTAAAGGAGTAAAATGAAAACATACTTAAAAATACCTAATTAGAATAGCTATCTCATAATTTAAAACAGCCCTTCCATCTACCAAGAGAGCTAAGGTGGGCAAGGGGAGAGCAGCTTTTGAAGGTGGACAAAGGTGGAGCGGAGTCACAGAGTGTGGCTCTACCCCACAGCCACTCTCACCGAGCTCACACTGCTTCCTAGCCCACCTCGCTTCCCACAGTGGTGTCACAGCTCCTGGTTCTTACTGAAGCAGCTCAGTAGATTGTGACCATCAGCTTGGACCTTTGTAAGAGAAGTCCCACTTGCACCAGGGTATCAAGGTGATCCCTCAAAGCCCATCCACTTCCTGGGTACCTAGTAAAACCTAGAAATAAGAGCTCAGACTTCCTCAAGTCACCTGGATCCTAGGTAAATCACAACAATTTCTGGAATTGGTTCTCCTTCCAGCCAAGTGAAGGAACACAGAGAGAATCTTAAGACTGCTATCAAGGCGATGAAGAATCTTATTTATAGTTACTTCTGGGGAAGACTGCAAAGTAGGAGGACCCTAAGCTCACCCCATCCCACAGATATATCTGGAAACCCACATCACTGTAAATAACCCAGAAAATGACCCGAATGCTAGCAGAACACACTCTCCACAACTAAACGTAGAGAAGAGGCTGCATCAGAGAGGGTAGGAAGGGCCAAGATGTGGTCTAGAGCTAAAGGACCTAAAGGACTGTCCAAGGGAGGAAGGGACACCAGAGGCATGAAGAGGGGAGAGAGAAACAGACCCTCACACTAGAAATCCCAGGCATAATATTTGGCTTTGAAAACTACAGGGACATAATATTGTAGTTCTTACAATCAGCAGGGGCTTATATATGGAATTTTAAAAATCATCAGGCTCAGCTCTGGGAGAACTGGCATTGCAAGAGGGAAAAAGTCCCCACCTGTAAAGAGACGGCACAACCAACAGTCCTACAGAGATACAGCACAGAAGCAGTAGTTTGAGCGCCTGGGGTATATGGACAGAGATTTGTTTGCTAACCTCAGAGCTGCGCTGGAGGAACAGGCATCCTTGGGAGACTTTTCCAGGAACAAAGGAACTTGCAGGCAGCATTTCCGCCCCCTGCATCCCAGCCCAGAAACAAGGACACCTGCGTTGGGAACCAGTATGACATCAACGCTCTCCACCTAGCTTGCTTACAAAGTGCCCACCCTGGCGTTCTCCTGTGGCCAGCCTTGGCCAGAGTTTTGGCCAGGTACTTCCCTTCCCATAGTGGATGGGTGCAAAACTTACTGGCCATGAACCCTGCCCCCATGCTGTCCTGTGGACCTGTCCCCTCCAATATGCCCTTGGCTGAAGCCTATCCAAAGTGGTGCCACAAGCCTGGCAGTATGCAAATAGCCCCAAAAGGGGCAAGTGCCACTCCAAAGTGACTCTCGTCCTAGGGAGAGGGGAAGATAACTATGCACACCAGTCCCACTGCAGCCCCAACAGTCACTGGAGGCAGACAGCTGATGTGATTGCAGACCCCACCCACCAACAAAAGCTCCTCAGGAGACAACATGAGGAAAGCACCCTGCCTTTTGGTGCTATTGCATCTCTGGCAAATGTCTGGTCTGACTCAACTCAGGCCCAAGGTGACCCCGGACTGGCCCACTAACAACACAGGGACCAAACCCTGCCCATAGCAGGCAAAGAAAGCCATTGCAGATGACTGGACTGAAGGCAAAAGTGGCTCAGCCACAACAGTAGGGCTCATGCAAGACACACAGGGGACACCCTGCAGCCCCAGGTTCTGGTGGACAGAGGACATTATGCTGCGGGGCACTACAGGATCTCTTCTTCATACGGCCACTATTTTCAAGAGCAGGAGGCATAGCTGACTTTCCTAACACATGGAAACAGAAAGGCAGACAAAATGAGGGGACAGAGGAGTATGTCCCAAATGAAAGAACAGGACAGAATCACAGCAAGACAGCTAAACTAAATGGAGGTAACTAATAGATAATTTAAAGCAATTTAATTTAAATACATGGAGACAATCAAAACACAATGGTCCAAAATCATTGGAATGTAGCAAAAGCTACTCCAGAGGGAAGTTTATAGCAATACAGAGCTACCTCAAGAAGAAAAATCTCATATAAACAACCTAGCTTTGCATCTTAAAGGAGCTAGAGGCGTACCTGAGTGGCTTAGCCAGTTAAGTGTCCAATTCTTGATTTCAGCTCAGGTCATGATCTCGCAGTTTGTAGGATCGAGACCTGTGTCAGGCCCTGGGCTGACCAGACAGAGCCTGCTTGGGATTCCCTCTCTCCCTCTCAGACCCTCCCCCATGCATGTGCGTTCTTTCTCTCTCAAAATAAATAAACAAACTTAAAAAAAATAAAGGACCTGGAAAAAGAACAACAAAACCCAAAACAGCAAAAGGAAGGAAATAATAAATATTAGAACAGAAATAAATGATATGAAAACTAAAAAAAAAAAGGAACAGATCAATAAATCCAGGAACTCATTCTTTGAAAAGATCAAAACAACTGATAAACCTCCAGCTAGACTCATCAAAAAGAGAGGGAGGGGAACACTTAATTAAACAAAATCACTAATGAAAGGGGAGAAATAATGACCAACACCACAGAAATACAAACAATTGTAACAGAATATTATGAAAACCTATATGCCAAAAAATTGGACAATGTAGAAGAAATGGATAAATTCTTAGATACATATAACCTACCAAAACTGAAGCAGAAAGAAATAAAAAAACTTGAATACACTAATTACCAGCAATGAATTGAATCAGTAATCAAAAAATACTCCTAACAAACAAAAGTCCAGGATCAGATGACTTCACAGGTGAATTCTACAAAAACAAATAAACAAACAAACAAAAACCAAACAAAAAAAAAACAAGAAACAAAAAAAACCTTAAAAAATATTTAATATTCTTCTCAAACTATTCTAGAAACTAGAATAGGAAGGAAATATTCCAAATTCATTCTATAAGACTACCATGATACCAAACCAGCTAAAGACACTGCAAAAAAGAGAGAGAGAGAGAGAGAGTTAGTTAGTTATAGGCCAAGATCTCTCATGAATATAAATGCAAAAATCCTCGACAAAATATTAGCAAACTAAATCCAACACTACATTAAAAAAATCATATGCCACTATCAAGTGGGATTTATTCTCAGGATGCAAGGATGGTTCAATATTCACAAATCAATCAATGTGATACAACAATAAGAGAAAGGATAAACCCATATAATCTTTTAAGTTGACGCAGAAAAAGCATTTGAAAGTACAACATCTGTCATGAAAAAAATCCTCTACGGGGAGGAGGGGCCCACATGGTGGAGAAGTAGGGGGATCCTAAGTTCCCTCATCTCTCAAACACAGCAGTGTTGAAACGGCCAAGGGACCTTGAACTGCAAAAGTCCAGGTGGCAAAGTGACAGAGACGCCTCCAGGGACCCACTGGGACAACCTGAAGGGCCATAGTTGTGTGATTGCGAACTGGGAGAGATAAAAC